AGGTGTTAATCTAGCAACTGGTTCCTCAACTGCTTCTGTAGCATGCATTGAATGATGGTTACGAAATGGTTTAAAAAGGTAAAAATAATTTTCTTTGGCTGCCCAGTCTGTATTTTTGAAGCACGACCTTTATTAGAGTTTCCACATCCCTTCAATGTGACATTTCTGAGTACCGTCACCTAACACACATGGTACACTTTCTGTGTTGCTAAGCTTACTTTGTATTTCCATGTGTTTAAGTGATTTTATGGTTTGTTGGACACGTGTTTATGTCAGGGTGAGAATGTTTGTGTTTGTGCACGTTGTCTGAGCAAGTGAGCATGCCCTGAGGACAGGGGAATGGAAGGAACAGGCCCGACTGGTTTCGTTTAGGCCTAAAATTGATGGAACATTGCCTCTGAGAATCTGTGGGGAGATTTGCCAATGCAATCTCAGGTTAGGTAGGTTTTTTTTTTCTGAGGTTCCGAATGTTAAAGGAGCAATTTTTTACCTCAGGCAATGTGTGTGTTTTATTTTGGCCTAGATGTGCTTTCTCACACATCACCTATCAGTATCAGCTGAGGTTGTGAAGAAGCATGTGAGAATCCTTAAAAGTTAAATCACCTCTGCAAACCACAAATGGAACATCTCAACATTGTCTGATACCAATCTGTTTCCTTTTTAATTTTCTTGCAAACATTTTTTACAATGCCCTTAGTAGGCAGATGACTCATTTGAACCAGTCATAAGATAAAGCTGCTATCAGTTCTTCGTTTGTCTGTCTGTTACAACAATGTTATCATGGATTATTTTGAGAAAGCAGGTTATCGGAGCGTGTCATTTCTTAGTGCTTACTCAAGGTCCTGCCGTGGATAAGAGCTACATGGGGCGTGTTTGAGTGTGTGAACAGAGCTAAGGCAATATTCCCCTTTAGGCATTTACTTAAGGTTCATCCAGAAGATAAGCAGATCATTGGTCTCCCATACTCGTGTCTGACATGTAGTAGCCTGAATGTGTGTTGAATGGTTTCATTGCCCTCAAGAGACAGATGGCAGCCTGAAACAACGCTTGTAAATGCTGGTGAAATGTTCCCTAAATGGTTTGACAAAACTAGAAGGACAAAAACATTATACTTAAATATTATACTTATTGTCTGGAGTCTATGACTTGTATGAAATTTAAATGACTCCTTAAATTATTCTTTTGTATTTAATTTACACAGGTAATGCTGGAATGCTCTGATGGAGCCAGACTGAGTTTGAAACACTTGTTGGATCATGAAGCTTTGGTAATATTCAGTTACAGTTCTGGGCTGGCACAAGGGTCTCAGGGTCCTTACGTACTCTGTCGTCATCACTTTCACCTACACATACTCACACAAATAGACCAAGTTTCCAGCCACCCACCGTCTACAGTTTGCCCTTTATGGCCACACCGACCTGTTTCTTTCCCATGTTATAGTATATTCTGAATTAATGGAGGTCACAAAAGCTTTGTGATCATGTGATGTCCATTAGACTTCACCACTCATTTGCATCACATCTCCAAATGTTTTTTGTCAACTCTCACTGAAGTTGACAAATATGGTCAATATGGATGACCAGTTACAGCTAATATCTGCATCCAGTTTTAAATTTAGTTGCAAGAAGGTTGCTTTCAATATCAGCAAAGACGATGACTGATTGTGTGGGTTCATGAAAAACAATCAAGGCCTGGTGCTGCTTGACAATAATTGGTTAAATTTGGGTCTAAACTGGTTTGAGAACATGTGAGGCAGGAAGGACGTGAAGAAAAGGTGGTTTGGAGCTTCAGAGACATTGTGCTTCAATACTCTCACGCCCGTAAAATGTCACAAGCAACATCAAACAGTTTGAAATATGCTTCCCCCTCACTGTACAGTTATGCTTTTGAAGGTGTCAAAGATATGCAGTTTTGTGCACACATGCAAAAAAGCCAACCTAAAAAAAAATTAAAAAACACTTATTGCTGCCTCTACCTTTTTTGGTCGTAAATTCACATATCAGACTCAGCATTTGTCCTCCAGCATCACATCAGCTGTATTTTTAGTCCTGCAGTGAAAGCTGCAGTATTTACATAGCAGAAAGTACAGTTTTTCTGTTGTCTTAATCTCATCCAGAAGCTCCCAAAGTCCTACTCTAAGGTCCAACCCAAACAGTAAGCACAGTACAGATCAGAGATGTGACAGGGTTAAGTAGCTCAGTTTCAGCTTTCTAACTCGGTCTCCTCTATGCTTTATTGTGCTGTTTCAGCAGCCAGAGAAATGCTGCAAATAGAACCCAGTGGCTGGGTGCAGTCGCAACCACACTTTCCTTTGCACCTGGTTCCACTACCAGCTCACCTTCATGTTGAAACATTTCCAAACCGCACATTTTCTTCTAAAGACCTTTTTCTGTCACACTCTTCTGCTCTTCATGCTGGTCAAGGGTTGCTCTGAAGAGGTAAAAAGAAACCATGTGATGGACTATGGAAACAGCCAGGGGGCCAAGGTTAATATTCATGACCAGACGATTGTATAACTGCACAGCTTCAGAATAAGTGGTCAGGGGGAGAAGTTCTCAACCAAGTTCTTAAACTTCACTTGTAGCCGAATGCCTCAGTACATGTGGACCTTCCAGTCATAATAACTGGGCTGAGATGGGACAAGCTGCTCAACACAATACATAAACTAAATGTGTACAGTTTAAAGAGTATATCAGTGCAAAGCTTTCTGTCATGATACTAGGGGGTTGTCTGAAGTTGCCTGGGCATCTCTATTCAGGCGTTTTGAGTAGCTTTAGCACATTGCTATGATAATCACTGTCTTAAGGTGTTTTTGTTTTAAACTGAAACCAGTTGCATGCCTTTAGGGCCATGCGAAATTTGTCTATGACACAACCAACTTGTTATTTTTTTTTAGCTTTACAATAACACTATTGATGATACACTTTAGGCTTATGTTTCCTCGTTGTTTTGGTGTAATGATGAACAGTAGGTCAGAAAGTAAATCTGTTCACATGCAACTCCTTACTTCATAGAACACAAGTTACTCTTCAATCTGAAGTTATCACTGACCCTGGCCTTCCACTTGCTCTACACACACACACACACACACACACACACACACACACACATGCACAAACACATGTTCAGCTGTGGCTGGCTAGTGATACAGAAAAGGGCAGAATTGGCACATTTTTGTCTGTTTGCACTGCTCAAACATCAAGCAATCCATTCCAGAACTTCCTGATAGAGGAATTACAAAGTCTAGTAGTGTTTCTCAACACTGATACACAGACTCAGGTTGAACGGCAACAGAAGCCACACATGAAGCTTTCCGGGCTGTACCCTCTTTCTCTCTCCAGCCGCACTGTAAGCGAAAAAGAGACCTGCTTCCTGTTTATGATGAGAACACATCAAGTACCTATATGTTTACAGGCACATTTTACAGGATGTGGCCTTGCTAACGAGGGTGGAGATTGTGAGTGCAGTGGAGGAAAGATGGGGAGGTTGAGGGTTTCTTTATATAGGTACACCTGACAGAACATACCAAGCAACTGGTGCAAGTCTTTCCATCACCTGCACAATGGAAATAGCAAAAAGAAACATATATGAGTGTTGTTTTGTTGACTCGGTAGACTTGGGTGCCAACAAGTTGAACATATACTGTATTGAGCTCTGCTTCACTGGTAGATATGGTCAGTATTTATGTACTGAACAAGGCTGCAGAAAGTATTTGGACACACTTGCATTAGATAAGAAAGTAACCAAGTGCTTTAGAACATCATTGCATTAGATAAGAAAGTAACCAAGTGGCATTTATAAACAAATGATGCTATTTTTAGTATATGAAGCTAGTTAAGGTGTCTTACCAAATAACCACAGATGTAGTTCAATATGCACATTCAACACTAAGGTTTGACAGTCAGAAAGTGTACAAATTCAGTGTCCAAACGATCTGGAGAGTGTATTCATTCTTTTTTTTTATTATTATTTAAAACCTCATAAATGTATTTTTGTGAAATGTTTTCTTTAAGAAGTTTTGAGTTGAAATGTTATCAATTTTACATTATAGCAGCTCAAATGCCTCTGAAAAAAAGTTTAGGATCACTTCAGATAGAGAAACAAACTAGCGATTTCCCCAAACCTGTGAGATCTAATGTCACATCAACTGTACGTGTTTGAAGGGGGTTTTCAGTTAACAATCTGTTTGAGGACAAAGTTACACAACGGCCAGACTCTTAACGGTTGCCCTGATGTAACGTGTCACGCTTTGACTTCTGAGATCTTTTCTCCTCTAACCCAATTCATCACCATTTCAGCAGAAACCAGAGAAGCAGATTTCCCATTAGGAACTGTGTATTTAGATAGACCCATGGAGTTTGACCACAGTCAGGTCAGTAGCCTATCAATCCTTCTCTAGACTACCAATGACTGTACTCCTCATAGGAACTCCCTCATTACAGTTGACCATGGGTCAAAATGTTTGATATGCAGAATATCTGTTTTCCTATATCACAGATGATTAGTAAAACCATAATGATCCAGAATTGGGATTCTGTGAAAATTGCTGTCCTAACCAAATAAGAAGTTTGTGTTCTCTCGTCCTCAGTGGTCAGTCATAAGTATAATTCAGTCAAACCATTCTCAAGACATTTTGGTAGCATGTGCAGCCAAAACCATCTACCCTGCCTTTGTGTAATATATACACACCACTATTACGATTATTGAACTTTCAGTATTAATTGCATTTGACAGCAGGACGTGTATCTTTTTCCTTGCTGCTAGTCATCCATCTCCTTGCATCCACCACAAGATGAATACTGCAAAAAAATGATACTCAAGATGATTTATTTTCTCAAAAATACGGGTTTTTATTGGTTTTAACTGCAATCAGTCATTACAAAAGTGAGATCAATCTTATATAAACTCATAGAAATTACTGTAGTGAACAACAATAGCTGTTTATATGGAAAAAAAAAAATACATTCAACTCTTCAGATACTTTCTTTGTGTCTATACTGTTAACCAACTTGGACAATCATTGCTTAAACCACTGAGGATACAAGCAATAAGTCATAAAAAAAATAGCATCCCAGTTTTATTTAAGGCAAAGAACGCTTGTTCATGGAATGTGTAAAAGAGGCACTTTACATATAAGCCAAAAGCTCCAAATGTCTAAGGACAGCAGAACTCAAACCCATTAGGTCACAATTACCACCTGCCTTTCATCATGTCCACCACCATAAACTGCTTTAACACTGGAGGTTTATTACTTGCAACATCACTAAACCTTTGTAACGAACATTCGAAACAAAAAAAGCACTTCATGGTGGTATTTAAAATGTGGTGCATGTGTTTTAAGGCCACTAAACTTCTGCATCTTGGATCAACTTGTTTTTATCTTTAAAAAAAAAAAAAAATTGATAATTTGTTCCATAGATCAAATCTATCACCAGGCTCAGGCATTCAGTAAACTGGATTGGTAATCCAAGTCTGTTTTTCACAACAAATATTCACTGTGTGATGCTTAAAAAAACAAGATTTTTAACTGCCATATAAATTGCTACAAGTGGGGCCTAAGCACACCTCAAAAAAAAAAGGAAAAAAAAAAGGCTGACACTCCTGTGAGATTATTATCTAGGAATGATTGTATGGTAGTACTGATTTTGCAGTCAAATATTTGTGAAAAGGGAATGACAATAAATCTACAATAAATAAATCAAAATGCAGAGGATTTTTTTGTTTTTGCTTTAAATTAAGTTTCATTTAAGTGTAGTTGCCAACAAAAAGTCATTGTAGTACAATATATTAAACTGTGAAAAAAGAAAGCTGACAAGTCTTCACAATCTTAAGATTAATACAGAAGATCATAATTTAACATAAAAGAAAATATATTCTATCGTTTCATTATCAAGATAAATACAAACAAAATTAACAAAAAAATGCATATGATCACCAATAAATATGTTTTTGATAAGTTAAATAAGCAGTGACAAGCAAACCCTTCTGTTCTGAAAGGTTTTTAAACAATAACAATAATAGAACCATAATAATAATAATAATAATAAACAATGACCATAATAAAAATCAAAACCAATAGGTGGAAACATGACGAAATTACGAAGTGCTCCTCTGAGCAGAATCTATGGAAAAAAAAGCGTGCTTGCATGAAGAACTAAAGTGAAGCTGCAGGAAGAGGTTGAACTGCACCTTGGGAATGATGGAATTCTCCCTCTGTTTGCTGATTGGCCCGTTTTGAGGTGGGACAGAAGAAAGAGTTTGTCTTCAAGGTTTAATAACAAGATTCCCTTCCCAACAAACTTGAAGTAACCAGCAACTGATGGGAAAAAGGGGCACTAACAACATCAACAACAACAAGAATTAAGGAATTGTTAATTTTCGAGTGGAGACATCCCATCTCAGGGGTTTGTGCTGGCTGTAGACGAGACATGGAGCACGTAGCACCTGATTGAACATTTGAATGTGCCTGAAATATTCCAGAGCTCCATTCTCATTCAACCCTTATGAGAGAAGTCCTTCCTGCAGACTGGTGTAATCTGCAATTTCAAGGGAGGGAGAGCACACACTCAAAACAAGAGCTACATAATCAGGCCACAAGAACGAAAAAAATAATAATATTAAAGTTAAAGAAACAGTGGTCCATTCACCCCAACACTTGTCTTTTTTTTCCATATTCTTTTCCTCTTTTTGCTTTGAGCCGGTCTACAAAGACAGTTGTGAAAGGTCTAAGCATGACACTTGTGAGCTTTAGTTAGTTATGAAAGAGTGTCCTTGAGAAGAGTGGTAATTTGTGAGGGGGGAAGGGCACAGATCTCTCCCATAACCGTGCCACTGGCTCCGCTACACTTGACTGCAGCTGTGGCACCTGGCACAACAGTCTCATACCTCTCACGATTAGCATTTCACTAATCCACTTCCTACTCTGTGTGTTTGGCACAGTCACACCAAGAACATAGCAGGGGCTCTGCAAGTCGAGGCTCGGAAAACAGAAGGGTCTTGAGGCCAGGAGAGTTTTAGCTTGTTCTGGTTAAAAAGAGTATTCAAAACGAGAAAGATCCCTTAATTCACTGGATCGGTTTCAGAGCGGACGTGATACAAGGAGGGAAGTCTACAGCTTCTAGGGTGCCGGAGAAATGGCGAGAGGTAGAGGGAGTGCTAGCGTCTCATCCTCTCTGCCCAAGACTGCTGCATGCAGTGGAAAGGGGAATGGGGTCTGGCTCAGTGTGCTTTAGTCGTCAGAGATGGAAAGCCTGCTGAAGATGGGCAGTCGGCGGGTGGTGTCAAGGACGGGAGATTCGGAGCCACTCAGACTCCCACTCGAGCTGCTCTGGTAGCCCTCTTGGTCAGAAAGCGAGTCTGGCTGACTGGATGGAGACTCGTAGAGTTGGGGAGACTCTGACATGGCCCTGAAGTAGTAAGGGGTTGTCGGGGAAGAAGGCGCCTGGGTGGAAGGGTCGGAGCAGGATAAAGGTGCATTGCCCAGGCTGGGGCTGAAGAGGTTGGCCAGCTCCTGGCTGGAATACGTAAAAGGGTTGCTGCTAGGCCACTCAGGCAGTTCGTCTGAGGAAAATATAGGTGGAGGGGTGACAGAGGTGGGGCTGTCCCTCAAGCCTCCAGAGCTGGGGAACCCCGCAAAGCTGTAGCTGTGTTGCAGCCGCGGCCTCTCCATCTTATTGGAGGCTGAAAGGGGGGGCGGGGTTGGAGGAGGTCCACGGCGCTCTTCTGCATTGTGGATGAAGTGGCAGCGTGGGCCGTAGGGGCAGAAGCCGATGGTGTGGAATGTGCGGCAGAGCTCTGTCTTGTACTTAGGATGGCGGCTTAGGCTGCGCAACTCATGAATGCCATGGGCAAACTGGCACTTGTCACCGTACTTGCAGGCGCCATTCTCCTCGAATGGCCTGCATAACTCTGTCTTGTAGCGGCTCGAGTTGACCTGGCTGTTGGGGCCTCCAGGGCCCGAACACTTCTGTAGCAGGCGATCCCCCGTCTCCGAGAAAGAGCGGTCTCGAAGTCGGTTCTCTTTGTTGCTGTTGCCGGTGGTTCCCATCCCTGAGCCGAGCAGGGATGGATCTGCCTTGGCAATGTTCAAGAACTGGTTTTGGTTGAGTTTGGTGCTAGCCGAAGTGACAGAGTGCCGGCGCTGGTAAACCCCAACAGTTGAGGGTGTCCCCACAGCCTTCCTGTCCAACAGGCACCCAGTGGGATTGGAGATGGGCAGACTTGGCCCCATGCAAGGGACCGAGACAGGGTGTGGAGTACGGAGGATGTTATTATTGTAGTTCAGCATTTTGTTCTACAAAAGAAAAGACAGAAAAATAAAAATTATGACACTGAATTCAGTTTTTGAAAGCCACAAAGTGGTTGGCAAGTCTTAACTGTTTTGCACTGGCTTCATGTTAAACCCACGAATAAATACAGGCCTAAACAACTGCTAGTTTGGCTCGATGCCCACTAAGGGAATGCTTGACTGCTTTATAAAAGCAAAGACTGCTGCGCGTGTCTGATACGAGTAATAACCTAACTCGTACAGTATCAGACGTGAGACTAGGTCTGTCTGGAAACCTGTGGACATTGATGACCACGTCTGACATAATTAATACATTCAGAATCAACATTATCAAACTAAATGTTGCTTAAAGTTTTTCCATGAGGAAATATATCAATGTACTAATTATAACTAAAAACAGGGTCATAACCCTCACAGACGTAAATGATTCTTAAACTTTTGGTCGCCAAATCTTGAATATTTGGCTACATCCTAGAAAGTAACATTGATTTGTAATATTTACATGTAATATTTCCACAGTTACTTATCTAGCCACCATGTCACATGATTAAAAATATATATATTAAAGTTATTTAAAGAGTTGACTCATGCGACAATCAGCTGTATGGAAATATATACACAAATCTAAATGTTACATCCGCACAGCACAGAAACACATTAACTCCACTTACAAATGATGTCCGACTGCAAGTATGGGTTAACCACTGAAATAAGCTCATATCTAAGAACCAGCTTGACTCACTGATTTTCTAAGTCACTCCTCTCAGTCAAAGTTTAATTAAATGAAATCACGAGACAGCCCTGACTTTGCACAGATTTATACACCATTCTCATTTACACCCAAACAGGTCAATTAAAAAAAAACTGCTTTGTCAGGTTTGAGTATATTTTTATTTAGCAGGTGGTGAAACCGGTTGCTCCAATCTTCAGTTGATAAACAGTTCAAAAGGAAGCAATGTGAAACATACATGGGTAGTTGACATGAAACACTTGTGGGAAGTTGATGTGTACTGATGTGTTATACTACGCCAAAAGATTTTCAAACAGCATTTTGACAACTGTTAGGCATGTAGTCTCTTAATTAAAATGACGTTAGCATATTGAAAATGTGTACTTCAATTCATTTAAATCACACTACATGGTTATTTTGAATGAACTACTGGAGGCAAAAAAGTGATTAAATTCAAATTAATTGCAAGCAGTCTGAAAATCCAAGATATACACTTTCACTTAAACATTCATATAACTTAAAATCTTGATTAAAAACGTCCATGGACACATTATGCATCAACTACCCACATATGTTGTAAAATCACAGCTATGGATTCTCCAGAACAAGCTAAGCAGGGAACTTTACTGGCTGCAAGCGTAGTCTCGTTCAATGCTACATTACAACTTTAAAGAAGACTTCAGAATGGTAAAAGCAGTTGTAATTTAGTTGTTGTTGTTGTTGTTGTTGTTGTTGTACGGTGTTACTTAATACGACTAAAATCGCCCATTCAAAACTAGAAGGAAAGTCTAATCGTCCACATTCCACAACACAAACAGATCAAGCTGAAACTTTTTTCCTACCTTGTTGTTGATCACTTCGCTAAAGTCGAAGAAAGGCGACACCACGGCTGTGGTCATCTTCCAATCGAGGATAAATCAAACACAGCGAGAATAATCGGATACTTTAAATTGTAACAAGCTAGGTTCTGGTTGTGTAAACTTGTGCTGCCCTATAAGAAACCCCCTCGGTCTGCATTTCCTTTTAACCCAAATGCAGGAGGGGCCAAGAGACGACGCTTCATATGGGCGTTCCTCTTGCTCTTTTTTTCAAGTTCTGAAGTTTTTACTTCTCTCTCGCTCAGATTGCAACGCAGTTTAAAAGTTTACTACAGCTGTTGTGCATGCTCATAAGTAAATCAGCGTGCTTGTGTCTAGTTGTTTATTTCGGTGACTGAAACTTTATATTGCGTCGAGTTTTGTAACTCTGTAACAAAAACGTTTTTTTTTTTTAACTTGACGTAGCCTAATATGAAAATATTTGCTGCGAATTATTTCGGAAATCAACAACTATCACTTATCTTAAATGTACAGTGAATGGCAAGTACAAAGAGTGCTGTACTTCACTGAAACATTAATAGAAAACAAAGACTTGGGAATTGATTTTTGTTTATTAATTTTATTCACATGTGCTTGTTTAAAATAATTGCCATTCCATTTACAACACCCTTGTTTCATTGTAAACGTTTTAATTTTTGTCAGTCCTTCTGAAGTACATTGGATAGTGTGTTTATTTTTCTGTAAATCTCAATTTTACATAGATCCTTATAGCTTTTTGTTACCTCATGAGGATGGTGGTATGTTAGTTCTACACAATGACTATTTTTTACATAAAAATGCTAAATCTATAGTCTTTAACTTAGATTAAATAGTGATATAGAGCTCCTCCAACTTCAAATGCACACTGTTTAGGACAGACCCCCTCCCACAGCCCACCCTAACAATCCATGACAGGGCAAGAACTGCTCTCTCCGTCGACACTGAGTCATTCTGTATTTGTGTTACAGCTGAGAAAGAACAGAACCACTTAGGACAAAAGTTTTTCTGAAATGTTGGAGGAGGGGGCAGATTTACTGGGGATGTTTGCTACAACGCTACACTGCCCTGAGCTGTGTGGGGCAGACGAGAGCAGGGAGGAGAGGATGGGGTCATAACCCCCACCCCCGCCCTCCACTCCACCTCCTCTCAGCCAGAGGTGGAAGTTTTTATAAAGGCCTTTTTTTCTCCACATTTTAATAGTGCTTTTAACATGAGGACTGTAGGCGAGATGCGAGGAACTTGCATGCTTAAGATTATTAATTCAGTTTAAGAATTATGAGTATGTTTATGAGGAGTTTAACGTGTTCTTTGGTACAGAGTAATCTACCCCCGGGGTGTCAGAGAGACAAAACGGAAGGTTGTGTTTCCAACTAACTTATCAATACTTTGATGATATAGATTGTACCCTAAATGTCAGGATAAGAAAAGTTATTTTCACTATACAGAGTCCAAGAATGCATTTCATCTCAAGTTATGTCATAATTGTATTTAAATTTATAATTTGTTTGTTGCAGATCATGCAAATTAATTGTAATGGCTGTGTGCATGCAGAGTGTTTTCGCAGTGTGGTCTTTTGGCCTGGAGAGGGAGCACTTCATATCAATCCGTGTTTCACAGACTCTACATTTCTTTCCTTGCTTCTCCTGTTGTTTGCTGAGCAGTGAGAGGGAGCAGGAGAGAGAGTTTGAGATGGTAGTAAGAGGCAAGGAATGAATGATCTCTTACAGGATTACTTTGCAGTCTAATCTCTAAGTATGTAGGGGGAACTTGTGAGATTATAAGAGTCAGTTATGTGCTGTGGTAACCGCCCTCCTGGTACAACTTGAGCTTTCAAGTTTTTTATTTCAACGTCCACAGCTGACAGACTTATTATCCCTCAGGCGAATGTATTTTTCTTCCATGCAAGATCTGTTTACTTGTCTTTTCCTGTTCTGCCTTTTCACCAGATTCTGGTGTCCATCTTGCATTTATGGAAACTGAGTGTTTTAAAGGCTAAGCACAATTGAAATGAGGGGAAAAAATAATAATTGTCCATAAAAGCTTGGCCACAGAATCGTAAGTGGTACACCACTAGATCTATCCAGTCATGTTGTTCCCATGCAACTCCTCTACAAAGTAGCTGTTGCCCCCTTCTCCTTTTTATACAGGGCTCCAGCTGTACAATGAGTTGCTTCAAGGGTCAAGACTGACGATAAGGATTGAAAGTGATGTTGAAAAGATGCCTGCTTTTTAAATCGAAAATATAAACAAGTGACATTTATGGCTTTCTCTTTGACCTCTACAATATGGGAACAGCATTAGTCCTCTGGCTTAAAGATCATGACATTAGCTGTTAGCTATTATGCTATTGTTTACAATTTGTTTAAATCCTCCTTTCCTGTCTTTTAGTATAGTTGGAGCAAAGAACTGACGAAGCTGGAAACAGGACACTGGCACAAAGGTAAATGTACTGTGGTTAGGAAGAGGACTTGTTGGGGAAAAGTGTCAGGGTTTGAAGACGGGAAATAGTGAAGTGATGAAAATACGATTATTGGAATAGAATTTCCTGTTTTGAGTTCAGCATGTGAAATGTCAGGTCATTTTCCTCTCTGACCAGGTTTCCTGTCCTGTTGATCACGAGGAAGGGTGAACTCCCCAATCGGAGTCATTCCTACTGAGCAGCGACAGAAGGAAATTCTTATTTCCTTATAAGAAATATTTACTGAATATAGATACTGAATATATGAATATATCTCTATATTTACTGAATTATTTTAATTTTTTCAATAATAGATATAGTGATTATATATATATATATATATATATACATTATTCAAAAAATAAATATAATTCAGGTAATATACATTCAGTAAATAATAAATTATGCATTTTATATATATATATATATATATATATAC